CTTGGAAACCCTGTGGGGCAGTTCCACTCTGTCCTCTAGGGGCGCTGTGAGTCAGAATCAACTCCACAGCAGTGGGTGTGGTTTGGGCTTTGCTTCCATAAAGACTGACAGCCTTGGAAACCCTGTGGGGCAGTTCCACTCTGTCCTCTAGGGGCGCTGTGAGTCAGAATAGATCTGATGGTGGTGGGTTTGGTTTTGTTTTTTTGTAGAATCCAGCCTTGGAGACCTTATGGGGCAGTTCTGTTCTGTCCCACAGTGTCGCTGTAAGTTGGAACTGACTTGAAGGCAACAGGTTTTGCTTTTGGTTTAATCTTTTTGGGAGCAGATCACCAGGTCTTTTGTCCCATGGAGCTGCTGGTGGGTTTGAACCACTGACCTTAAGACCCTTCAGATGTTTAAAATGAGAAACTGAGGTGGAGGGGAATCATTACCATTTGTGGTCCCTTACCTCATGTTGCCAAAGAACTTTCCCTACATTACATGGCACTCAGTCTTCTCCTGTCCTCAAAATATTTTCTTCTCTATGTTAAACTTACTCAGTCCCTCCAACTGCTCCTAATGTTATGAATTCTAACTTTTTCACTATCCTGGTTGCACTATTTTCTTATTTCTAATCTAAAGAATAATGCAGAATGAAAATAATAATCTAGTATTGATTTCCCTAATCTATATATTATGAGGGGAGCTTTGGTAGCATAGTGCCCAAGGCACTTGACTGCTCACCAGAAGGCTGGCGGTTCAAACCCACCAGCCACTCCTGGAAAGGAAGGTTGGGCATCTACTTCTGTAGGGATACTGCCTCGGAAACCCAAGGAGGGGTCGCTATGAGTTGGGTCCGACTCGACAGCACATAACAACAACATATATTATGTGAAGTCTTTGTGGTACCGTGGTTAAGCTCTTGGCTGTTAACTGAAAGGTTCGTGGTTTGAACCCATCATTGCTCTGAGGGACAACGTGTGGCAATCTGCTCCCATAAAGATCGACAGCCCTTGTGGAGAGATTGGGATTCTCATACACTGCTGGAGGGACTGTCAAATGATATAACCACTGTGGAAAGCAGTATGGCGATTCCTTCAAAAGTTGCAAATACAGCTACCATTTGACCCAGGAATACCATTACTAGGTATATATCCTAAAGAAGTGAAAGCCAAGACAAGAACAGACATAAGCACACCCATGCCGACCTTGGGGCTTACAATGGACTTAAGTTAATGGCCTGCCCTGTGGTTTGGTAACATCGGGCCTGTGCCTTTTTACTTGTCAACCTTGGGGCTTCTCAGCCTCAGCAGCCAGCAGCTGTCTGAGTGAAGAAACGCCTCTAGCTCCAGTGGGCCGGGA